CACTTCTCAAGGGCGATAAATAATGAGACCGGTCTCTAATACAGGTAAAAGCTTACAACTTGAAAATACATTTGATTATTCCTCAGAGTCATTAGTTGGTTGACCGATAAATCGACAGATTTTTCACAATTTTTTATTCATCGATTTAGAGATCGGACTACTTTCTTGTTGATCAGTTTCGCTCACATACCGGTTTCACTGTTTTAATTTAGCCTCGAGCACAGTATCATCCCGGCTTAATAATTTTTAACATTTTCCAAAGGTGTGTCCATTTCCCAATCTTTATCAATCCTGTTCTTCCCGATATTAATATAGACCGGATCCCAGTCCATATTTGAAAAGTTTCAAGACCCAATCCTTCCATTTTGGTGCCATTCAGAAAGAGCCTTTATTTCAACGATGATGTTGTCTTGTGGGGACGCTGAGATGTTTTCAAAAGGAAAACACCAGAAATGTGCTGTTTTATTTATTTTCTGCTTTTTCTGTTATATATATATATATATATATATATATATATATATGTTGTGGTTCAATTTTATCCTTGGTTTAAATTTTAGTTTCCATTGTTTCAACCATATTATCATACATTACCATAACCAAAAACAATGGAAAATAAAATCTATACCAAGGATAAAATTGAACCACAACATATATATATATATATATAATAAATAATGGTAATTGAACTGAGCGGAGCGCAATTTGGGCTGAAATCATACGCGTAATTTCAAAATCGAACGAGCGCGCAGCGCGAGTTCGATTTGAAATCACGGGTACGATTTCAGACCAAAATTGCACGACACGAGGTTCAATTACCACTTTATTACATCCATTTTGAAATCACCCAAATACAGGACTTGGTCAATTCAAATATTTTTCTGATGCTGATGCAATACTGATATATAATAACACGGTTTCAGCAACTCTCAAAAAAGCAATCGGACAAAAACAAAATAAAATTATTGGGACACTCTTGAGAAGTGATCTTAGTCATCGTCATTTAAGAAACAAGGTTTACATTTCGTAATCAAAATTAGTTTTTGTAAACAGATCGAGAAAGATGGTAATAGATGAAATAGAGAAAGACGTATTTTTTCGTCTTCCTACGAGCGTGGGAAAAAGCAGTTTGCGAGAACTGTGTTCCATATTAACCTCGTAATAACAGTTTGCATGTGAGGCTCAGTGGTAGAGCATCGAAGGGTGGAACTCGATTTTCCGAGGTTCGACTCCTCATAGAGACCCAGAATTTTTCTCTTTTCCACGCTCGTGAAAAGACGATATCTTACTCTAACAGTTTTTGTCTCCGCACATTTATCTGTGAGCTGGATGCAAGCCACAACAACTATATATACTCAAATCAAAAGTAGCTGTTCCATGCATGGCGTGTTTAATTGAATATTTATTTATTATTTATGGCTGAATATAGCTTATATTTTAGTGCAATTCCCTCACCTAGAGAAAAAACAAAAAAACAAACAAACGATAATGGTTTTTTGTGTGGAGGTTACTAAGCGACATACACATAAGGGTTGCTACCTCATCAGAAGACACACAGGGCTTGCACTGTAAGTATCCCGGACAGCTTCATACAATTCCTTATAATTTGATTATAAGGAATTGTATGGAGCTTTTTCAGCGTTAGTCGTGGCGCAGCGGGTGTTGTCATGTATGATCCTTGCGAGGATCATAGGTGACAACACCTGCTGCACCTCGACTAATGCTAAAAAAGCTCCATACCTTATATTTTATTATAAGGAGTTGAATGGAGCTCTCAGAGATACTTACAGTGCAAGCCCTGTGTGTCTTCTCATGACCAAGTCAAACTCTAACTAAGAGCCAAAAAGCCCCGCTGATGACGTTCAATTTATACATCTTTATCAATATCAACAACTGCCTCTGACAGAGCAAAGGCAAATAAAAAAAAAACGTATTAGCAAATTTCTGTATAAAGACATATTCTCCAGGCTCCGGTACACTTCAATGGGCGAATTCTGAAGAGATTCTTGGTCCCTCGGAACTTTTGCCATCGGAACTAGTTTGGGCAAGCTAGCTTGACAAAGCTCTAAAAGGTGGATGGATTATTACGGGCACTTCATAACTGTGCAGCTCATCTTTGCATTGGTGTTTGTTATTTATACCTCGAGCAGTCACTGTACAAACGGACTATGTGAAAAGATATCTCTTTCCTTGGCCACTGACTCAAAATACAACACTACTCTTGTTGGTTACGTCTTTGAAAGATTGAGCGTCGCGAGCTGGCAGCAATGTTCCCACACTTGCGTGGCGAATTGTCAGTGTCTTTCGTTCAACTTCAACCGGGTAAACACAACAGAAAATTGTGAGCTGAACGATGCTTACAGTAAACTGACGCCAGGAGCACTTGATGGAAAGGAAGGGGTCAACTACTACGAGCCAGTCAGAAATTACTTCGACAAAAATGTGAGATCTTTTTTCTACTAATACCCAACGTCATCGTCTTTATCATACCACTTAGCTTAGGGAATTTTTTTTCTTACTTAATAAGCAGCTTGGTTTTTTTTTATTATTATTCATTTCACTTGCCAGAAAAGAGGAATAACAATATTATTTCGAAGAATGGCGTGCCTCGAAAACCTCGGCTGAACTTACTTAAAGTGTGTTACTAATTTTCTGATCAATTTTTGACGGTTATTTTAAAAGCCTCCCATTGAAAGAAAGTGAAAACATAATGAATTATTAAGTTGCAATAGGTTTCAAGAGCCGCACAAATACAGATAAAGAAAAGATACGCAGCTAGCCAAGGGAGAATTTCATTTGGGAAAATGTCACGGATTCAATATGAATTATTAACGGTTACAGGAAAACAAACTCTAGACGAAGACAAAGAGGCATTGCTGTCCACGGAAGAGTTTAATTACGAAATTGTCTCGAGTTTGTATAATCCATGGAAGACGGGGTCTTAAAGTAAAAACAAATGGTGCTAAAAATCGCAGAAAATGTTGCAAAATCACGATTTTTCACTTTTCGAAGGGTAATATGGAAAATTCCGAGGCTACTCCCATTATCCTTTAGGCGAGTTTTACGTCTTTAGGTGTTTATAAACGAGTATGTTTAATTTCAGCTATCTTTGTAGTTCGAGTGGTAAAATGAAACATTTCAATTCAGCGTCATTTTATTTTGTAGGGAGTTTCCCAACAAACTTGCTCTGACCCAATTTGCCAAACTCATTGCTGTGACTCCGCCCCCTGTCAAAATGGAGGCACTTGTCATAACATATGTCACGTGAACAAAAGAAGATTCCACTGCGATTGTCCACGGGTCTTCATAGGACACAGGTGCCAATATCCTCTAATTCCACGGTCATGCCAAGATATCAGGATTCTTAACAAAACATCTTCAAATGGAATTTTTAGCATCGTGGACCAATTCAACAACTCCTTCCCAGTATATTGCGATTTTCATTCAGAATCAGGTTTCGCGTGGACTCTGATCCAGTCCCACTCTTTGCAAAACAAGGGCCTCTTCAATGGAAAAGCATTTTATATGCACGACTTTCCAACCAATGTAGATACGCCTGGATGGAACAGTTACCGCCTTGCAAAGTCCCGAATGCAGTCCATCCGGGATGTCTCCTCTCACTGGCGTGCCACGTGCAATTTCTTGACCGATAAAATCGATTTTCGAGATTACATTCGCACGACCTTCGCTAAAAACGACCTTTTAGCTGTGCCTGACGTAAATTTTCGCTGTGCTTGGTACGAGTTGGTCAACATCCGTGGAAACAGGTGTGAAGACTGCACAGCTTACTCTCCTTACGGTCCAAAGTATGGTTATCATATCGACAGTTGGTGGCAGCCACAAGAGTGTGAGTTTGACGGAAGGCCAGGGGGAATAGACGATGAAGACAACTTTGGTGAATATGGCCATGTTAACTCAGCGTTCCGTTGCTCGTCCTCGTCAACCTCTACAACTGAATTCTGGATCGGCGGCCCTTAAATAATTGACATTGAACCGAACGAGTTTCAGTTTTGCTCGCGATGAGAAGGTCAGCGGCAAATTCTGCACTTAAAATAGGAATAGAGTGCTACAACAAAACTGAGTAGTTAACTCTCTGCCCCCCCCATTGCCTCGCCTGATGTACTTAGTCATAACACCAGCACTACCTTGGCCAATATTATAAATGGAAGATATTATTAAAAAATGCAGAACCATCAAGTGACCAAAATAGGAGAAACCAGAAGAAAAAGCTAAGATGTTCATTATTTATTTGATTTAATTGGGGGAAAACCCAAGTATGTTAGTTTGATAATATCAGCATCGTGTAGAGTTTAACACTCGACTCAGAGAATTGCATTTCCTCCTTTGAATGTGTACATTTGCACTAAAGACAGGGCAACATGGCTCTGTGAAAATTTGTTCAGCACTTTTAAGTGCAGCTGAAACTTTTAGTACCGGAATAGAAGAAGTATCAGTTCTGTTAATGTTGTTAGTATCAACGTTAATAGTACTGGATCGTTGACATTGTAGAAAGAAGAAAAGTACATCGAGCCTATATTAAGGGACGTTGTTTTAAGCGGTCATCACGTATTTAGCGGTCGGTTTTTAAAGTCCCGATATTTTGTTATGTTAATTACTGTAATTTTCGCCTCTATTAAGCGGTCACCTTTATTACATGTAAGCGATCGTGGTCACCATTAGTAAGTGCCAGCAGCCCGTTTGTATTGTCTTCCCCCTGTATTTTCAAGTAAAATTTCATCCATGTGTATCTCCCGAAATCAATGTTGGTACTGGTCAATTATGGCATAAAATAGCGTTTCGTATCGTTAGTTATTTAAGGTCATTTTACCCCTATTGTTTGAAACCTGTCAGTAAAGTGGTCACCCCGCTGCTACAGGTACGACTGTGATACAGATTTAGATGCATTTTGATGAAATTAAAGTAATTCTAAACACAATGGCATTATTACTAAAATATACTCATTCAGAACGATAAAAACGGTAACTTTGCTCTCCGTCGATAACTACACTTTCGCTCCTTTGCACGAGAACTTTGTGTACGTCGAACTCTATACGAAGACATAAAAAGTATTCAAATTTTGCACAGCACACAGCACACAGCCGAACAAGAGCTGGAACTCTCCCTGTGATTTCTGCCCGCTTTGAAATCTCGAGAAGGTTTCCGAAAGCTGATGACACGTCAGTACAGATGTTGGAAATATCCCTTGCTCAAAAGATCGGACATATAAATGCGAATTTTCTTTTTTTTCATACTTTTGCGGATGCTCACCTGTTGGCGTAAAAACTCAATACAGACCATCGAAAACACACAGAAACAAACAACTAATTTATATCATTGATGAATAATTCAACATTTACCAAAAGTGTTGATAGAGGTGACGTATTGTCGTATTGTCGAAGTTCTGATTGGATCAACTAATTTACTCTCATTGCGGGAGATGGTGTTGTAATAATCACTTCCTCAGCAACAGAGATACCTTACGGACACGAACCAAAGTCAATGCGGTTCCTCATGTAAAGGCATATTCTCCCAGCACCGTAACATTTCAATGGGCGACTGCTGAAAGAGGTCCTTCACTTCTAGGAACTTTCGCTCGACCTTTGAAATCTTTTGGGCAAGCTAGCTTGGCAAAGTTCTAAACGGTGCTATAATGGGTCGTTACAGGGACTCTGTTATTGCACAGCTTATCTTTGCATTGGTGTTTGTTATTCATGCCTCGAGTAGTCAGTGTTCAAATGGACTTTTTGAAAAGATATCTCTTTCCCTGGCCACAGACTCAAAATACAACACTGCACTTGTTGGTTATGTCTTTAAAAGATTGAGCGTCGCAAGTTGGCAGCAATGTTTCCACATTTGTGTGGCGAACTGTCAATGTCTCTCGTTCAACTTCAACTGGGTAAAGGCCACAGAAAATTGTGAGCTTAACGATGCCAATAGTAAACTGGCACCAGAAGCATTTAATGAAAAGGAAGGGGTCAACTACCACGAGCCAGTTAAAATGTGAGATTTCCTTTATCTTATACATAACATTATAGTCTTAATACTGTAAAAGCTTTTTGCACCAACTTAAAGCAGTTAATTGAAAAAAAAAACAAGAATAACACGCGTTACCACTAAGGAAAGAGCACCAAGCAGCTTTGTTTCTTTGTTTTATTTCATTTACCAGAAAAGGGGGAAAGGAATATTATTAATCTCGACTGAACTTAGTTTAAGGGTTTCAGATGATTTTCTGATCGATGATTCGACGGTTATTTTAAAAGCCTTCCATTGAAGGGAAGTGGAAAAAAGAATTAGTTAGAAAGTTACAATAATTTTCAATAACCATAAAATCCATAGATACAGTCAAATAGGCGTTGCTAGCCACTGAAAAATTTCATAAGGTATATGTCACTAATTTGCGCAATCCATGGAAAACGTGGTCATAATTTAAAAGCCTCCCATTTTGAGGAAAATGAAAACAGTATAAATTATTAAGCTACTGTAAAACAAACAATAGACGGAGGCAAAGAAAAACTACTGCTAGCCACGGAAGAATTTCGGTAGGAAAATGTCACGAATTTGTACACTCCTTGAAAAATGGGGGCGTTTTCAAGGTTTCATAACATGGCAGGAGAATATTGTAGAATTGTATTATTTCAGCTATCTTTGTAGTTCGAGTGGTAAAATGAAACACGTAAAATCAGCTTTGATTTATTTTGTGGGGAGTTTCCCAACAAATTTGCTCTCACCCAATTTTCCAAAGTCATTGCTGCGATTCCGCCCCCTGTCAAAATGGAGGCACGTGTTATAACATATGTCACGTGAACAAAAGAAGATTCCAGTGCGATTGTCCACGGGTCTTCAAGGGACACAGGTGCCAATATCCTCTACTTCCACGGTCATGCCAAGATATTAAGATTCTTAACAAAACATCTTCAAATGGAATTTTTAGCATCGTGGACCAATTCAACAACTCCTTCCCAGTATATTGCGATTTTCATTCAGAATCAGGTTTCGCGTGGACTCTGATCCAGTCCCACTCTTTGCAAAACAAGAACCCTTACTATGGAAAAGCATTTTATAAGCACGACTTCCCAACCAACGAAGATACGCCTGGATGGAATAGTTACCGCCTTGCAAAGTCCCGAATGCAGTCCATCCGGGATGTCTCCTCTCACTGGCGTGCCACGTGCAATTTCTTGACCGATAAAATCGATTTTCGAGATTACATTCGCACGACCTTCGCCGAAAACGAACTTTTAGCTGAGCCTGACGTTAATCAAGATGTTCGTTGTGCTTGGTACGAGTTGGTCAACATCCGTGGAAACAGATGTGAAGAGTGTAAAGCTTTCTCTCCCTATGGTCCAACATATGGTTATCATAGCGACAGTTGGTGGCAGCGACCGTTGGTGTGAATTTGACTGAAGGCCAGGGGGAATAAAAGATGATTTGGTAGATGTGCTACTGTTAACCCAGCATTCCATTGTTCGTCCTCGTCAGCCTCTACAACTGAATTCTGGATTGGCGGCCATAAATAATTGACGCTGATCCGAGCGAGTTTGACTTTTTCTCTCGAGAAGGAAGTCAGCGGCAAATTTTGCACTAGAAGTCGGAATTGAGTGCTATAACAAAACCGAGTACTAAACACTCTGCCCCCACCTATCACCTTGGCTGATGTACTAAGTCAGTCAGCACTACCTTTGCCAATATTAAAAATAGAAGAGTGAAACATACCAGAACCATCAAGTCGCCAAAATAGAAGAAACCAGAAGAAAAAGCTAAGGTGTTCACTTTCAATTCATTTAAACGGGGGTAAACCCCATTATGTTATTATGACAATATCAACATCGTGTAGAATTTAACACTCGACCGAGAGAATTGTATTTCCTAACATAGTTCTGTGTAAATTTGTTCAGCACACTTCTAAGTGCAGCTGAAACTTTTAGCGCCGGAATTGAAGAAGTATCAGTTCTGCTAATGTTGCTAGACCCATGTCCCCCTCTTGTTAGTATCAACGTTAATAGTACTGGATCATTGACATTGCAGAAAGTAGAAAAGTACGTCGGACCTATATTAAGAGACATTGTATTAAGCGGTCATCCCGTATTCAGCGGTCGGTTTTTAAAGTCCCGACCTTTTGTCACCTTAATTACTGTAATTTTCGCCTCTATTAAGCGGTCACCTTTATTACATGTAAGCGGTCGGGGTCACCCATTAGTGAGTCCCAGCAGCCCGTTTATATTGTCTTCCCCCTGTATTTTCAAGTAAAATTTCATCCATGTGTATCTCCCGAAATCAATGTTGGTACTGGTCAATTATGGCATAAAATAGCGTTTCATAACGTTAGTTATTTCAGGTCGTTTTACCCCTATTCTTTGAAAACTGTCAGTAAAGTGGTCACCCCGCTGCTACAGGTACGACTGTGATACAGATTTAGATGCATTTTGATGAAATTAAAGTAGTTCTAAACACAATGGCATTATTACTAAAATATACTCATTCAGAACGATAAAAACGGTAACTTTGCTTTCAGTCGATAACTACACTTTCGCTCCTTTGCACGAGAACTTTGTGTACGTCGAACTCTATACGAAGACATAAAAAGTATTCAAATTTTGCACAGCACAGCACACAGCACACAGCCGAACAAGAGCTGGAACTCTCCCTGTGATTTCTGCCCGCTTTAAAATACCCAGGTTTCCGAAAGCTTATGACACGTCAGCACAACCGGATTTCGGAAATATCCCTTACTCTAAAGATCGAACATAATCCGAGAATAATGGGAATTTTTTTTTTTTTTTTTTTTTTTCATATTTTTGCATGCAGATATCGATTATCGCCTGTAGGCGAAGAAACTCAACACAGACCATCCAAAACACGCAGAAACAAATGACTAATTTATCAACCATGAATAATTAAATGTTTAGCAAAAGTCAGTGATAGCGGTGACGTTTTATTGTATTGGGTAAACACCACAAGAAATTGCGAGCTTAATGATGCTAACAATATATCTACACCAGAAGCACTTAATGAAAAGGAAGGGGTCATCTGCTACGAGCCAGTCAGAAATTATTACGACAAAAATGTGAGATTTCTTTTGTCTTATACATAACACTATGGTCTTTATATTGTAGAAGCTTTTTTACGCTTACTTAAAGCAATTAATTAAAAACAGGAATAACATGCATTATCAATAAGGAAAGAGTACTAAGCAGCTTTGTTTCTTTTTTTTTTTCTTTATTTACCCGAAAATAGGGAAAGGAGTGTTGTTAATCGCGGTTGAACTTAGTTTAAGCGTTTTAGATGATTTTCTGATCGATAATTTGACGGTTATTTTAAAAGCCTTCCATTGCAGGGAAGAGGAAAAAATTATGAATTAATTTTAAAGTTAATAATTTTCAACAAGCGTAAAAACTATTTCTAGAGTCAAATAGGCGTTGCTAGCCACGGAAGAATTTCATAAGATAAATGTCACGAATTTGTACAATCCATGGAAAACGGGGTCAAATTTTAAAAGCCTCCGATCCCATTATAGAGGAAAATGAAAACAATATGAATTATTAAGTTATTGTTAAACAAACCATAGACGGAGACAAAGAGGTGTTGCTAGCCACAGAAGAATTTCATGAAGGAAATGTCACGAATTTGTACAATCCACGAAAAAGGGGTCGTTTTCATGGATTCAAACATCGTTGAAGAATATTGTAGAATTGTATAATTTCAGCTATCTTTGTAGTTCGATTGGTAAAATGAAACATGTGAAATCAGCGTTGATTTATTTTGTAGGGTGTTTCCCAACAAATTTGCTCTGACCCAATTTGCCAAAAACATTGCTGTGACTCCGCCCCCTGTCAAAATGGAGGCACGTGTCATAACATATGTCACGTGAACAAAAGAAGATTCCAGTGCGATTGTCCACGGGTCTTCAAAGGACACAGGTGCCAATATCCTCTACTTCCACGGTCTTGCCAAAATATCAGGATTCTTAAAAAGAACATCCTCAAATGGAATTTTGACATCGTGGACCAATTCAACAACTCCTTCCCAGTTTATTGCGATTTTCATTCAGTCATTCAGAAGCAGGTTTCGCATGGACTCTGATCCAGTCCCACTCTTTGCAAAGCAAGAACCTCGACAAAAGCATTTTATAAACACGACTTTCCAACCAATGAAGATATGCCTGAATGGAATAGTTACCGCCATGCAAAGTCCCGAATGCAGTCCATCCGGGATGTTTCTTCTCACTGGCGTGCCACGTGCAATTTCCTGACCGATAAAATCGATTTTCCAGATTACATTCGCACAACTTTCGCAAAAAAAATACCTTTTAGCTGTGCCTGAAGTCGATGAAGATTTTCGCTGTGCTTGGTACGAGTTGGTCAACATCCGCGGAAACAGATGCGAAGAGTGTACAGCTTTCTCTCCCTATGGTCCAACATATGGTTATCATAGCGACAGTTGGTGGCAGCGATCAGAGTGTGAGTTTGACTGAAGGCCAGGGGGAATAGAAGATGAAGACAACTTTGGTAGATATGCTACTGTTAACCTAGTATTCCGTTGCTCGTCCTCGTCAACCTCTTCAACTGAATTCTGGATTGGGGGCCCTAAATAATTGACATCGATCCGAACGAGGCTGAGATTTGCTCTCGGGAAGGAAATCAGCGGCAAATTCTGCACTAGAAATAAGAATTGAGTGCTACAACAAAACCGAGTAGTTAACACTCTCACCCCCACTGACTCGCCTGATCTACTTAGTCATAGCGTCAATAAATAATAATAAAATAAATAATGATAAATAATTTAGCAATGGACATTCCACTGGGTGGCTCTTCCTTTTCCACTGTTTCCAGATTGAATTGGAATTTGGAGTGTTTGCCAATAAGGAAAATGGGAAGGAAACGACAAGAAAAAGCTAAGGTGTTCATTATTTGTTTTAAATGGGCGAAAACTCCAGTAAGTTAGTAGGATAATATCAGCTTCGTGTAGAATATAGAACATTCGACGCAAAGAATTGCATTTCCTCGTTTAAATGTGAACATTTGCACTGAGGACAAGGTTATATAGCTCTGCAGCCATAGTTAGTAGAGGAGACTCTACGAACTATGCTGCAGCTGAACCCTTTAGTACCGGAATTTATCCATTATCAGTTCGGTAAGTGTTGTTAGTATTAACGTTAATAATATTGGATTGTTGACAAGAAGAAAAGTACAGTCGAACCTATATTAAACGTTCATCCCGTATTTAACGACGTTCGGTTTTCATAGTCTCGTAATTTTTTCTCCTTAATGGCTGTAATTTTCACCTTTATTACATGTAAGCGGTCGTGGTTGTCCTTTAGTGAGTCCCAAAAGCCTCTTTATACTGTCTTGCACTTGCATTGAACCGTCACTTAACCTTTAAACTCCCAGAAGTGCGGATGAACATGTAACTTCTTCTTACAATATCCATACATTATCCAGCAAACAGATAATTAGAATACTCAGACTTGGGAAGTTGTCATCGTGATGTAACGCCTAATTTTTGTAACTAATTTTTAAGAGGAAATGTGTTGCAGCGAGAGAGGAGAAGTGACAATCAGATTCTGGGAATCATGAAAGGGTTAAAGTAAACTGACCTTTCAAATAAAATTAAATTCATGCTTACCTCCTAAAATCAATATTAGTTGTGGTCAATTAAGGCATAAAATGGTATTTTTTATCCTTCTCCATTTTTTCCCTCTTCTGTGGAACCTGAGGTCAATATGTATGAAGCGTCCACCCTATCGCTTCATACAGGTACCACTGTGGCACAAATTTAGGTGCTTTTTAATGAAACTTTTTCTCATTTTACAAGATCGTTCGCTATAAAAACAATTGAACTTTTCTGAGTGGAAAGAGTAAATTATTTTTAATATTGTAAGTAAAGTTGTCAGTATTGTTAGCTGTAAACTATGTTTTAAGTACAATTAGCACCACACATAAAGTTTTGATCTTGCAATGAAATGTTGGACTTACATTTATGAAAGGAATGCCAGTATTGTAATTAATTCATCCAATGTAGAAATTGTAAAATGCATCAAGAATAATGAAGACAAAAAAATGAAAGAGCTGTAGAGATTAGCAGAAACACTTGTTCTCACAATTTGGAATAAATTGAAAGTAGATCTATATTTTGTGTGAAAAAGTGCAGGAGAAACTGCAGCAATCTCCTGCCAAGCCTGTCACAAGGTAACACCTCCATAAAAATAATGCAAGGTTTGAGGGGTAGAATATATGTGATCTAGAGGGATTTACAACATGGGCAGATGAAAACAACTAATAAAAGAGATCCAGTGAGGGGAAGTACCATGTTATGACAATAGGTCAAAGTTGCACTGTCAGTGTGCTGGATTGTATACCAGTTCATACAATAAAAGACATGTCAAGTTTTGCAGCATTTTTCATTGTCATGCATTGAGATCACTTACTTGGCTTTTCATAGCGAAAGGCTGCAAAGGCACAAAATCTGACATCATCAAATTTAGCATCTTAGTGCATTTCCAAAAATCCTACCCTGGCCCGGCCCCATTTCAGTCCTTAATATTTGTCTGCAATATTTGTTCCTGTCAAGAAAGGAATTTTTCTCCAATCTGTTAACAACAAACCATGCTTTGTGACATATTTAAGGCATGGGATTTGGTCACACAATCATGCTACAAGAAAAATCTAAAGCCCCTGGTCCTTGAAGTATTATACTGCTGTATAAAGAAGACCCTGTAATGGATTGTGTATTCAATGTTCACTTTTTGCCCCCAGCTTTAGCTGAGAGCACTTATTTAGAGTGACCATCATCTCTGCTTTAAGACAAATTACATCTCTTCTTTAGATAAGTAGTTCTCCATTAACAATCAAGTGTACCCACTCATATAAAAATTAAACAATTACCAAATGATACACTTATTTCCAGTCAAGAAACGATTTCTTTAAATAACTTACACTTTATCTCTTACAATATGACCCACAACTTAAGTTAATTTCCACAAAGAAATAGGAATGTTTTCTTACTTTTGTGTTTCTCTTCAGTGGTTTTCAGGGAAAATGCCAAGAATAGGGAACAGTTACTTCCATATCATTAACTTGACAAGAAATAACTTTGACTACAAATTTTAAGTCTTCATGGGTATTAGAAGTCTCTATGAGACTGCAATACCCATAAATATGGCTTACAAATTAATATCAGTCACCTTAACAAAATCTTGCACATAAATAGCATTTACATGATAAATTTCCTTTGTGGTAGCTATTTCCTTTTTAAAAGTAAATTCAATCTTAAATAACCATGATATTTCCTAACATGTTAAATAGTTACATATGATGACCTCTGCTTTTTGTTGACTTTTATGAAGTATAATACTCTCTCCTAGTTATGCAAAACATCAAAATATATAACATCTGAATTTACCGGTAAGCTAAAAACAATATGAAGGAATAAAATGATTAATTTCCTACCACTCTCAAACATTAGAATTTGGAGTGAAAATAACTCACAGACATGCCAATAATTTGCAAATTGGTAACAGTCAGGAGCAAATCCTGTACATATGTGTACTCTGTACAGACAGAAAACTTTCAGTTTCAGTAACCATGGTTACTTCTTCTAAAGTTTCGTTTTCCTTCCTATTGAATAGTATTATAGAGATTTGCATCAAGGATTCTCTGTAACAAGCCATTCAGGACATTTCTACGGCAGTTACTTTTTGGATTTTACATAATTTTTTACTTAATTCTCTAAAGTTACTCTGATTAGTCCAACCTCGTTATAAATTCTTTATATTGGTGACCATTTTGATGTGGGAGATTCGCCTTACTAATGCATAAAAAATGCAAACAGTTTATTCAATGGATCTTATGTAATCACTAGTCACCCTTTAGATCTACTTGCCTCTTACGAGACACTTATCCTTGTAAATCAGAATTTTCTAACAAGATTTAGGCAGAAGAATAAAAGGAACAAGCTCCGATATCACGAATGTGTACATTTCTTATTTCGACCGTTTCTGCCTTCCAACTGGATAAGGTTTTCCGGCTCAAAGCGGCTCCAGAGGTTGTTAGATCGACGATTTGATCGCGGAGATGCTCCGGAACATGGTCAAGTGATAAAAATTTGAGAGAACATTCCATTTCCACCGAGACGACCATATCAATCTCGCGTTTCTGAAGCAAAACGTCGTTGATTTCTTGTTCATCGCTAACAGTGATCAAGCGAGTTTCTGCCACTTTACGGCCGTGGCGATCCAAAACGTCGAATTCATTACCTTCGTAAATTACTTGAATTGAGAAGGCAAAGCCTTCGTCGGGGTTGCTGTCCGACCAGAAGAAATTATCGTTTTCAACAGCATCGCTGTGAAAGGTCAGTCTTTTACCATAACCTCTTCCGATGCTTTTTAAGACGAGTGCCTCGCCGTTGAACAAGAAATCGCTTGTTCCGTTCCGACGAACTCGGTAGGCGAATCCAGGAACGATTTTCTTATCGATGTATGTTCCTACCACTGGAATTTCATAAGGTCTTGGCGCTGAAATAGTATATTCAGTCGGAAAATCGCCGATATCTTCGCCTCGTACATCAATGGTTCGTACTTCAGGGACTACATCTCCAACGATGTCCTCGCCCTCCGGGATTTCTTTAACTGTAGCGTGGAAGCGAGCACGAGTTTGACGCCACCAAACTCTCCATAAAGCATTTTGTAGTCTTCTTTCATTTTGGTATTCACTCGAGAAGTGTCGACCGTTCTTGATGCCTTGTTCAAACACGGTCAAACTTGGACCCAAGGTAGTTTTACTTTCACGTACCCGACGCGCCTGAAGCTGGCTAAAGTAATCCTCGTTAAGCGGGATGTTCAGTCGGTTAGTAAACTCCAAAAAATCGGAGAAATCTTTGGGGATCTCGAAGTCATCCTCCTGCACCACATCGTCCAAGAGAATATCCATAACACAAATTGATTTTCCCTCCAAGAACCGTTCACGTACAAATTTCAAAACCCCTCCACGAGGATGCCAAAGTCCAAGAAAACACAACTTAGTGTTTACCCTACCTTTGTTTTGATCTCCGACGTCGCTTAGCTCAATGGAGGCGTGAGCAGAGGGGTTTTCGCGGCTTTTTCCACACTTCTGATTGGTAAATTTAAGCCCTTCATGCGTGAAAAATGAACTGTTCACGTGAATGGCTCAGTGAGATCACTGAGGCAATGTACTTTGGACTAAGGAAGTACAAGATCACGATTTTGTACACGTGCAACCCTGGAGAAGAGGGTAAAACTATGCAATCTTAGGATTTACAGCATTTACAATATATTTTGAATTGATGAGGAAACTTTTTGAATCAATGTTTCTCGTTGGTTTTGCGTTCTCTTTTTCACTAGGAGAAAATTAGTTATTTCAACAATGAGATCGCAAAATTAAGTCAAATTCTTATGACCGTCTCAGTAAATTATTTCACCATGTGTATCGATTTTTAAAATTTTGAAATTCCGATTCAAAATCTATCCATCGTAAATTTGGGTTACCTCTCATTCTGCGGACTAGGAATAAATTTGTTACGCAGGGCACAGCGCATTCGTGCGTCATAACCGAGAGCCAAGTATTTTCCTTTCCGGTCAGAACAAATATTTTATCGTGAGACCTCCAAGGTTTAAGAAAGTTTTCTTGAACCTTAACAGGACACGATTACATACAAAACAGAGGCGAGTTTTGGAAAACTACGTCAACGATTCTCCAATAAAACAAAACTAAACAAAACAAAGAACACCTCAACTCATAGCGTGCAAAGCAGGCGGAATTTAGGCGAGCGAGTATTTACTCAAGGAAAGATGGCCGCTATCTTTGATTTAATAGCAGCGGAAGGCTGGGGAGAGAAAGTAATTTGTACCAAGGAGGTGAGCGACGGTTAAGAAAAGGGAGAGGGGCTGGGGTGGGTGACTCCTTCCTTCGCCTCTTACCCCACCTCAACTCGCCCTAATAAGACGCTTGCATTGCAGACTAACACACACACACACATACACACGCACGTACGCACGCAAGCACACAAAAAACGAAAACAAACACAAACAAAAAAAAGCTATTCTTTGTTTCTTTGGGTCAGAACAAGGAAAGCACCGTTCATCATTCATCGAAGCGGCTCACGTCAACCCGTCCGGCCCTTCCGAGTTTCGGATGGAGGAATCTGGAACAAAACACTGTTTTTGAAGAAGTTAGAGGAAGGTAGCATCGGAGTGCCTGAAGACCAACCCCTTCCCTTTGGTAAAGAACCAGTGCCTCACGTCCTTGTGGGCGATGACGCTTTTGCTTTACGGCCGTTTGTTATGAAGCCATACCCACAAAGAAATATCAGTCTCGAAGAGCGGATTTACAATTACAGGTGAGAATCAAGAATATAACAACAACAACAACTCAGTTATTAGTATGCCCATAGTTAACCATGCTATAATCTACCTTACTAACCATATATTTTGATCGACATTTTTCGGGGGGAACGGGGAGCAGGGCTTCTTTTAGGTGTTAAGATCCCAGGGAAATGTATTTTTATAGAATGTGTCTACAACCTCACTCCAGAAATACTGCAACCTTGATTTCTATGGTGTGGTGTCCCTGCCCAAAATTATTCAACTTTGAAGCTATAATGTGCATGAACTATACAGTTCTGAAACTTGGACAATTCAGCTGTTACATTTATTAAGAAATTCTACTTTGCAAGACATATGAATGCAGGGTAATCATTATTTGATAAAGTATTTTTATAGAGTTTAATTAACTGATAAAAGAGAGGTCATTTACGGAGGTGGTTGTCTTGTAGAAGTGGTCACTTGCAGAGACTAGCTACATTGACTTCCGATAAGAAAAAACCATACCAATAGCCAGTCTTTCCTCCTTTGTTCATAAATAACAATCCCTCTTGCTAAATTGTATGTATCTTTACTTTGATTCCAGACACAGCAGAGCTAGACGTCTATCAGAAAACCTGTTTGGCATCATGGCTAATAGATGGAGGGTGTTTCTAACACCAATACAGCTCTCTCCTACTTTTGTGGAAGACTTAACTTTGGCAGCTTTGACCCTGCACAATTTTTTGAGACCAAACAAAGTGTCAAAGCAGATCTACTCACCAAAGGGTCTTGCAGATGAGGAGGACATCTCAACTGGTGAGGTGGTCCCTGGGTCCTGGCGGTCATCAGAGCTCCAGATGAACCCTTTACCAGTTCCTAATTCTGGGCACAATGCTAGCAGGTTGGCAAAAGGTGTGCAAGACATATTCAAAGATTATTTCTGCAATGAAGGAAGTGTGCCCTGGCAATGGGACAGGTGTTAAAATAATGCATTCATGCCACTGTGATTTTGACACGATTATTGGCAGCTACTTACAGTTGAAAGATAAACCACAAGAAGAGCCCTAGATTTAGTCATGTCTGTTCAATCTTTCATTTTATTCAATGTTCAGTTTCTTGGGAATAAGTACCTTAATAAATTTCAGCAAAAAATACATATTTATTACACATTTTGCGATTTACATCTAAACTCATTTAATATATACTGCCAGAATTTTCTGTTCATAAAAAAAATAACTTATTACATTGTGTGTTGCTTTGTAAAATATTACTGTTTGCCCAATGTATTTGTTTTTTAAGCTTTATCATTTGTTGTATTTTAACATGAACAAGAAACATGAAAATGTGACCTAATTTGGTACAAGCTGAAGTATAATTGGTTATCAAACATTTCGATCTTTGATCAATCCAAGTGGGATGTTTCACTAACTTTAATGATAAATGAATGACACCATA